TGCTCCACATGTATGCTATTTGTGTAGGGTTGTGTAGCCTAAAGGTATCCTTGAAGTTATGTGCTATCAGCTATTTCAACAACTCAGATTATGGCCGGTGATTGTTCATTCTCTTCTGTTTGCACGATTTGTCAGTGGCGGGTTTGATGTGATATTGAAATCTCCTCCTATTATTATGTATATTCCTATTTTAACTGCTTGTGAAATCCATTGTTGGGTGTCCTGTTCTATTCTTTTTTTATCTTTTTTATTGTTACTCCCTGGTGGCAGGTATATTCTTATTACTCTTAATCTATGTTTCCTGGAAAAATCATGTCTACCGCAATGGCCCTGCCTACTATCTCTTGTTTCTTGAAGATTCTGATTGTGATATTTTCATGTATTGCTATATTTACACCATGTCTGATTTTTCACTTGGGTCTACTGAGGTTATCAAGTGGTAATCTTGTTGTTTCCAGTGTTTGATCTGATGTATATTTCTATTTGTTTTAGTGGTGATGATGATTTTCTATTGTTTCTCAAAGCAATATTCTGTCCAGAGTTTCCATTTATTTTCCTCTACCATCCCTCTTATGTTATATATCATGAATGTTCAGATTGGATGATTGATTTTTTGTTTTTTGTCTGTGTAGGTAGTTTCCTTAGTTTGGGTGTTACTGTCGTATTGTATTGCTTGTTTGTCCAAAGGTTGGCTGGTCGATAATATGTTGTTTATTCTACTATTTTCTTTCTTTAGGGAGTTTGCTGGGTTGGTGTCTATCATATTATTGGGGGTTGTGACTAAAAAGGGCAGTCTGTTGCGAGAGTTTGAATAGGTTAATTGCTTCTTCCATTGTTGTACTCATTTTGTTGAGCTGCTGTTGGTATGCTTCTTGGATTTTCTTTATGTCCTGGATTCTAATACTGGTTTCTATTGTTTGTTTCTCTTTGCTTTCAGTTGTATCCTCTTCTAACTCTTCCATTAGTTCGTCAATGCTTTCAGGGTATCTGTTGACACATTCTTGTTCTAAGGCATTGACTCTCTCATTCAGGTCTTGGAAGGCCCTTTTTATTTCCTTGATATCTTTTTGGATTGAGACCAAGATTCTCCAGATGTCTTCTCCATATTGGTCAGTTTTGGTATTTTCTTCATACTTGAGAATGTTTACGTAGTTCTGGGGATTGTTGTTGGTTCTGTAAGTTCTGTTGTTGTGATTGAGGCTTGTTTGGTTAACCTATTGAATAGGGAGTCTTGGGTTATTGAATCTATTTATGTGTTGTCTTTGGTGAGACATCTCTGTTCTGTTGGGACATATATTGTAGTTATATTCAGGGGAGCCACAAATGTGGCATAGTTTGGTTTCGTGGTTGACCCATTGTATTTGAGTTCTATTGATCATCGAAACTGCTTATTTGGCTTCTGCCAGTTCTTCTCTAGTTGCAAAGGTGAAGATGGCAAACCTCTTTGCCTAGCTGTTGTCATCATAAGAAATGTAAACTGACTTTGCTTTTGTGCTGGTGATTATAATGGCCAGGTCTGCTGCTATTGTACTGTATGAAAGGTATGTAAGTGTAACACTGTGGCGCTTCCTTTGTTCTTTAATTTCATGTTTTCTATAGAAAGGAAATATTCTACATGAATATAGTACTTTAGTGAGTGTCCATTTCTGACTTATCTCAACATAATCTGATATATTGGAGAATGTGATATTCGCAGTTTGAAATGGGCCTACTTTTCATAGGATTATGTAATTGATGCTGATTTGTTCATCAAAAAACTTTGCAAGATCAGTTTTGGTAAAGTGGAGGGGATGTTCCATACTCAAATGGTGTGTAAGTTGCTTTTTTAGGATTCTAATGGTGTGACTTTTCTAAATTTGATATTTTCATTGTCTGTGATGTTAATCTCACATGCTCTTTATATATCTTCGTAGTTACTAAAAATAGTAGTGATCTGTGGACTTCCGATTGGATATTCATATTTCACATATTTCAAGAAGGGGAGTTATCCCATTTTTTGCTTGATTAAATCTATTTTTTTCCCAGGAGTTTGTCCTAGTACCTGTTCAGGATCTATGTAAGCTTTTCCAGACATGAGTGTTTTTTGTTGCTGCTGAGGTTCTGTTGTATTGTTTTCTCTTCCGTTTGCTCTTTCTTGGTCAGCATGGCTGAAGCCAGCTTGGTTGATTATGTTCATCTATTCATCTTGCTGCTGTTGACTTGGGCTGCCTCTCTTCTGACTCCTGGACTGTGGTGGAGGAGCTTGCTCTACTATTTGCAGAGTCTTCCAATATTTTGTGGATTGTACACTTCTTTCCTTTTCCTCTTCCGTGGTCAGTTCTTTTCCCTCTATCTTTATCTTTCTGTTGGTTTGGTTGTGATTTCTCGGCCCTTTCCTTTATCTACTGTCTTTTTCAAAGATGCTGTTCTTGTTCCAAGCAGAGTGTATCTGAGTTGGGAAGCCGGTGTTGTTGCTTTGACCTTCAAGACCCTGCCGTTGTTCTTGCTGATCTTATCAATGTTGTATTCGGGTGTTGTTTGTCTTCCTAAACTTCTCATTTGCCTGTTGGAGGCCATATTGAGGTATCTACTTTGTAGCTGGGGATGGGTTTTTGTGTTTTTTGCCTAATAAGGAAATTTTTACTATTTTGAAATTTTTCAGGAAAGAGTTTTTTTTTGAATCCTATATCTCTAGATCAAATTAAATTACATTATAATAAGAATATGCCGAATTTAGAAAAAAGTATAATAGATATTCAGGTAACGTTGAATTTGAAATTAGTCATATCGAGAATATTATATTCCATGTTATTGGTTAGACAAAAAGAAAAATCAATAGCGAGTTAGATTTCAGAAACGTCTTTTGGAATTAGAAGCATAACATATATTTATTTAACATAACATATTATCTATCTATTTATTGATTTATCGTAACAACATATTTAGAATAAAAACTACCTAAGGTATCCCATAATGGCTAGTACTTTGGACTTCTATTTATTGCTATTTTTTACACGAATCTATTCTGTACATCACAAAAACCCCTAGTAATAATAATAGATCATAAATTGTTATTATTATTGCCGCAATGGATCTTTGAGCCTACACATCCACTTTAATTTCAACACGCAGGCTGGATACGTGCAGATGAACACATAGTTCAGTGGCAAATAAGATGTATTATATTAATATACCAATAAATAACTGAAAAAATAATATAATTAAATCAGAGGTATTATATCTTCGATATTTTTTTTTTTTTTTATATTTTTCCGGTTATTCCATATAGGATCAATAAACGTAATCCATACAGTAAAGATAACCAATAAAACAAGAAGAAGACATGCAATCATTGGAAATCCCAATGCATATATATCTGAGCTTATATACATATCCTCTGGTAATATATCACTATGTGGAAGTTCAGGTATAGAACTAACTACTTCATCAGATACAATAGTATTCTTACTCTGTGTATCACTATAGATTGATACAATATTATCGATTTTTTTTGATATCTTCCATATTTTTTCTGCATACTAGATATTGACTAAGATTATTGGAATTTAATATGGAACTTTGTTCCTCGGTTTGAATATTTTTTTCATCATCCCACCAACTATGGGTTTTGATACATATTCTGATTTTAGACTCTCTAGCTCATTAACTTTCGATACTAATTTACTCTTTATATCTACCAATTCAGATTTGAGAGATATAATCTCAGAATCTTTTTTAAATGAGTCGTTTCGAATAGAAATCACATCTTTCTGGGCTGACGATAACTTACTTTCCAATATCTTAACCGTAGACTGGAGAGATTCTATTTTTCTTAATTGAGTAATATTCTTAGTTTCATACTCAACATTGGAAATCTGTGATCGCTTAGTCTGAGATGATAAATTATCTAATTCTGAGTTTAATCGCTTAATCTCATATATAAGTTGATAGATATACTTGGTAAGTTCTTCTTTATCTTTACTAGTTTGATTTAGATTACGTTGCAAATGTACCTTATCCTGTTTGATATTATTAATAAACTTTTTGTGCACCTTCTGATAGTTTTTAAAATCATCAATAAGTTCAGAATTAGTCTTACAACTATCGCGTAAAGCTTCTTCAAGTTCTACCTCCCTAGTACTTCCAAGTCGATATCATTTTGAGTTAATATCTCGTAATGTGTGCATATTAGCCATATATTTTTTTCTCATATATGTATAACAAAAAATATATTAAATATTTATATCAATAGGTATCAATAGGTATCAATCATTAGGTACCAATAGGTAACAATAGGTATCAATACGTTTTGAAAAATTATTGAAACTTTTTTTTCTAATACATATATATTTACCTTAAGATGCTTACCCATATTCATCAAAATTTTTATTGATCCAATGCGACTCATTTATCTGAATCTGATATTATAGAAATTAGAGAATCAAGGGGAAGATACCAAATGCATCAAAAAGAATGGCAGAAAAATTTCATATTGGTGCTCGTCGTGTTTATGAAATATGGGAGCACAATGAACGTTTACAACAAAATCTTAATTCTCCATCACCTTCTGATTCTGATAACTCTTCTATTTTAAATGATTTTTAAAACAAGAAATCTTCAGCTGAGACATCGATTAAAAAAATAAAATCCAAACCTGTTTGTATTTTGAATCAACCTTCTATTAATAAAAATTTAACCGGAAAGTTAAGCACAATATCATTAGAAGTAAAAAAAAAACTATACTACCTGAATATTCGCAAGAAACTAAAGATCCTTTGGAATTCTATAAGAGAACAAAAAAGAGATTAAAAAAGTTAGATGATGCACGTGCTGATATTTCTAAAGTATCAACTTCTAATCTAAAAGTATAGAATTGATTTCTTCTTTATACTTATTACGTAAATCATTATACGTAATATCCAATAAATTCTGGATTGGTTTGAACACTAGTAAATAGTGCCTTTTTAAGTTCCTTTACATGAATGGTCATACTTTCACAATTTACGCATTTTTTTTTTTACCTCTTCAGTAGTAACAGAATCTGGTAGTTTAAAACCTTCTGGTGAGTGCCATTTTTCTGTATTAAATGCATTACGTGATTCTTTGCGAGTAGAAAGAAGAATTGTAATAGTCTTTCCATTGTGTGCAGCTGTGAATTCTCCTTTCACTATCGGATCCCATCCAACACGATGTTGCCATTTTGTACCAAGCATCATTATAGATATATCTTTTCCATTTCGATCCTTTTTTGTGGGGATTACAGATATTTCTTTTTCAGAAACTGTTATCGAATCTTTTTCACTATCTATAGATATAGGAACATTATATGAAGTACCAATGGATTGAGAATTTCCAACCGCACCCGTAAGTTTATTAACATTTTTATTATCTATTTTTATCCCTAAATATTCGGGAATATTATCTGTATACAATGAATCATCTGCTCCGGTATCTAGAATTGCATTCGGTATTATTAAGTCACCTATTCTACAAGAAATCGTTGCCACATCATTAGGTTCTTTTATATCGAGAAAATCAATCTCAAAAGGGTTAGGCAATTTTGTCTTATTTGTGCTCCTTGATATACTTTAATGGCGTGATTTAAAGAGTGAAGTTCAGTGTCTTTATCACATGTAATGGAATTATTCAAAGGCTTGCTTGCACTAATAATTTCAATAAATGGCTTGAAGATAGTTTGATATTTTTTCGCAATATTCTCCCATACCTTATTTCGTTCTTTAACTGTGTACTTTTCACCATAATATAAATCAAACTGTTCCTTCATTTTTATAAACAAATTATTAAGAAATGTACGAAGTTCAATGAGAATTTCCTTAGGACAATTTGGTGTTAATTCAGATTTAATATATTTAAGATATTCAAGAAATACTTCCTGTTCCAAAGTAACAATCGATTTTTTCTTAGTAGAAGACTTCTTTACAGGAACCCGACTTTTTTTACGTTAAAACAATTTTGTGGTTCATTATCGGAGGCGATTTCTTCTTCCTCTTCTTCGTCTTCGTCATCTTCCAATATCTCCACCTCCTCATCATCTGAATTTTTGGTTCACTTTGATAAACATTATTAACTTTTTTAGGTTTCTTAACAAGTCCAGGACACTTATTGTTTCTGTCCAATTTTTCCGCAATTTGAGCATTTTTATGTGATTTTCTGTGGTTTCTTTGTAGTATATAATTTTTTAGTACTTCTGGTATTACTATTTTGTCCAAAAGGTTCTTTCTTAATATGATTAGATTGTCTTCCATAATTTTTTGTAAGGTCGTTTTCAACAAATTGATGTATTGCTATGGGGTCTGATAAATCACCTGAATATCCCAATCGTATTGCAATATCAACAAATTTTTCTAACGCGATATTTTTTTTTGGAAATTGATTTATAGGAATACTATATGCCATGGTACTAGCACTACTATTGATTTCATTTCCAAAATTACTTGCTGGTCCTCCAGACTCTAACCAAATAATTCTTAATTGCGTAAAGAAGTCATTTACAGTATTTGGATTTGCTATTCTGATTCGTGTTTCTAATCTAGGAAGTAAATGATCATAGAGATATGGCAATACTTCTGCATCGACAATACCTAATACATAGGGTCTAATTCTTTTTTCATAAGTATCAATTGTATCTAGTGTAGTAAACCTTTCATTCATAAGTGCTTTTAACGATGCTCGTTGATTTCCAATCATTATTTCTCGATATTTACCCTGCATCCAGTTATAAACTTCTGCTTCAGTACCAATATTTGCATTAGCATTATACGGATTTTGTGCTGGAACTGAAAAAAATATACTGTCATTTTACTTTTCAATGATATTCGCTCTTTCTGCAGCATTAAAAGCGGCAACACCTAAAGATCTGGCTGTTTCATTTATAGCTCTAAGTTTTGCAAAATAAGTATGTGGTGCTTCTTGTCCATCATAATCTAGTAATATAGCAAGTCGTGGTGAAATTGTATGCATAAAATCTTGTATGGCAGCCATGTTAATTGGATTTGCTAATAAGTTATTTTGTAATACAAAAATTTGTTGCCGTAAATTAATAATTGTTTGCCGGACGTCATGGGTTTTATTTTTCTATTTTTTATACAGTATCTCGCTATAAGTTGATCTCGCCAATACTCTAATATTATTCCATGATTATGACATTGTTGTAACTGCTGTTTCAATTCCTGGTTTACTCGTTTATTCAGAAGCTGTAATGCAAATTATTTATGTAACAATGAATTAATACGTCTATCTTTTTGAGTTTTAATATAGATAGCATTCAACCTCCAAAAATTGCGAGATCTTTCTTTATCTTCTACACGATTTTGTAAAGTATCACGTTCTTGTATAAGCTGATGATTATTGTTTTGCAAAGTAATACTATCCTGTGTAAGCTGTTTGATATGGTCTTGTTGAAATGTGACAAGCTGCCTATATCTATTAACATCCTGTTGTAATTGTAATATTTGATTGTCTCGATCATCACGTTGGGCTATGATATCATCTATATCCAGGTACGCAGATTGATAATTATGTCGAACTGCATTCAAAGAATCTCTAATGCCATTCACAATATTGATAGGATTATTTAATGGTGTGCTGTCTCCTTGAAGATAATTTTCAATATGATTTAACCCTCGGTCGATTTGTATAAAAAGATCTAGATTTGCCATATCAGTATCTTGTTCTTCTAAAGATTGAGTATATGGATTTGACGAGCTTCTTCTCGATAAATTAATTTTTACTATAAATAAAATGAGCAATCCTAGTATTGTTATAGATCCTTTAGAATCTCAAAAATTCGATATATCTATCGATTTACAAAAAATCTATTACCATTTTTCTGGTTATCAAAGAACTAGTAAAAAACTTTATGAAATTTCACAAAAAGCTGGATTCGATTTTACATTGGCTGAAATTCAAGAATGGCTTGAAAGACAATTATTACATTTAATTCATAAACCTCGACCACGTTTTATTCAGTATGCATCTTTTAATGGAATTCAAAATTTAAACGAAATGCATCAATCTGATCTTACTCCTATGCCTCATGATAAAATTGGTAATCGAGTTTTTAAATATAGACTTATAATAAAAGACGTGGCAACTAGATATCGAAAAAGCTATGCATTAACTAATAGATCGGCTTCTACAGTTGCTAAAGCAATTATGAAGATCCCAACAATTCTCTTTCTTGGCCTAATGTTTTTAGAACCGATAAAGGTACTGAGTATTTAGCTGAGTGTAAAGATTTATTATTAAGGTATGGCGTATATTTTAACTCCAAAAAATCCAAAGAAAGCAATGCTATAGCAGAACGCGATCATCAAGAATTTGATAAACATGCTTTCATTCTTCAAGATGCAATAGATTTTTATTTACCTATGTCTAATAGATCTAGAGCATGGGTTAAAGGTCTTTATATTAATGATGACATTTATAATGATACTTCTACTCGTTTAATCCATATGTCACCTAATGAAGCTGTAAAAAAAGCTTTAAAGGGTGAAAAAATAATTGCTGATCCATCTGTAAAACATCGTAGACCTACGTATTGGTTTTAATGAACCTCGATTAACTTATAAAGATTCGGTTTTATATTTACTATAACCTGGTGAGTTACATAGGGTTTAGGGTTAGGGTTAGGGTTTGGTAGACGTCGCATAACCGATGTGAATTGGTCACCAAAAGTTTATCGTATTAAAGAATCTTTAATACAAAAAAATCAACCGGTATTATACTGGCTTATGGATGAAAATGGAGATGGACCTGAGAGATCATTTGTGAGAGAACAGCTAATGAAAGTTGTCAACATTGAATATCCGCCTAGATGGATTTTACGAGATCAGTATTAACATAAGTCAACTTTTGGCTAATAATCTACTCATCTTTTAATACATCTTCTATAGCTTGATCGATTTTTGTATCATTCATAGTTTATTCCTTTTTGGATAACTCATAATAAAGATTATATAGATTTTCTATACTTTTTAGAAGTTCTCTTTTATTTTGAAACCAATTTCTATATCTTACCATTCTTCTATTATATGCCTTTTCATCTGAAAAAAGTGTTATTGCAGTATATTTTATATATTCATCTTTGTTTTCAGAATTACGTAAATTTTTTACATATCCTGAATATTCATTAATAAGCTTACTATCTTTTCTATATCGAAGACGGAATGCCTCTTTTATTATTTTAATTTGTGCTGATTCAATTATTTTCCATGTGATATCTTGTCTTATTAACTCTGAGTCCTGCTCGCTTGTTAAACTTGAACTATTGTTTTCGTTAATGACAATTTTTGGATATTTTTTTGCTATTTGATCTATTATTTCATCTGTTATTCGTTCACAACTTTTGTATTTTTATAGTTTTTATATTTGTACATTTTTGTGGTATACATAAGATTGTTTTTGGTGCTAATCGTTTATTTCCGTAAATTATTATATGCTTTAGATTTTTGCATGTATCTAATACCATATTTAGCGAACTATTATTAAGAAATCCCAACCACAATCTTTAAATGATATGGATATTATATCCTGGCATATATCTATAATTTCTTCTAATAGAAATTTATCCCAAATAAAATGCTATCTATTCTTTCGAATTCTAACTGTTTTATATATTTTATTATATTTGGTAAAGGTTTCTTTTTCATTATTCTACAAATTTCGTGATATGAAATATAAATCAAACAAATACATTATACTTATAATCTTTTTGAACGACCAGAGTTAATAGCATATATTATTAAAAATTTGACATCAAAAGATCTTGCAAAATGTCTTCATATCAATTATATATGGGAAAAAGAAGTGAAACACGAGTCCTTTATAAGGCAAAAAAAGCTTGAAAATAGATATTGGGACTTTGGGTGCAAAATAAAAAAAGCAATAAAAGATCTTGATAATTGTTTCAAACTTAAGACTGATCCAAAGATATTTACAATTGGACTATCGATTCGAAATACTACAGAACCCAGGACAAGATTTGATTCTCTGCTTAATGAACAAGAAAAAACTTTTAGTAAACTGCACGAATTAGAAAAATATATGTTTAATATTGGTATTATCAATGAAATAAAAATGTGAGTCATATTATTGGTGGGAATAATTTTGAGATATGTTTGTAAAGCAAAGCACTACGTGCCTCTTTTTCTAGACATCCTATGTATGTTGCATTATAACTATAGATATGGTTAAAAAGGTAATATTTTTTTGTACATAAATAATACCCAAGTTCAAATAGATAATCTCGATTATCCGATCCATGTATCCCATAGCCGATCACTTTTTTTACTTATATTCCATGTACTGTATGTCTCAAAATAACGAACCACATAACGGCAATAATTAACAGGGTAAGAAATATGTATGCCGATAGAGGTGACATCAAAGTGCTTGTTACAACAGGAATTGTTCCTATTCCTCTATTGGAATTTGAGAGTGTGATTTAATCAATGAGGACGTATTATTTTCCGGCTGTGCAAGGTAAGGAGTTATATTCGGTATTTCTTGGAGAATATCATTGTTAGTTTTGCTAATGTTAGTTTCCTCATTTATCTTAGGACTAATCGTGGTATAATTTTTTGGTAGTTCAGTAATCTCATCACTAGTATATGTCGATATATTACTATTATTTTTTTTATTGAATCCATGGAACTTTGCTCCTCACACAGTTTATTTTTTCTGCGCATAAAATATTTACTGAAATTTTTGCTAGGTGAGGCATAGCCTCGAATTTCTGATTCCTCAATAACTGCAGATATATTATCAGACTGGTCATATTTTTTTCATCATTTCCACCAAGTATGGGCTTTGATATAACCTCTGATTTCAGACACTCAAGTTCACTGACTTTTGAAGCTAGCTCATGTTCTACTTCAGCTATTTTAGACTTGAGGGATAATATTTCTGATTCTTTTTTCGATGAGTCGTTTTGAATAGAAATCATATCTTTCTGGGCTGAAGATAACTTACCTTCCATATCTTGTTCATAGACTGGGGTGATTTGATTTTCTTGGATTTTGTAACATTCTCAGCCGTAGACTCAGCAAGAGAAAGATCTTTACAAATATTCTCGGAGGCGAGATTAATATTTTCAATTTTCAACTGCTTAGTCTCACCAATAAGTTCTAAGGTGTGGGTATGTAACTTCTGTTTATCACTAGTAACATTACTAAATGCACTTTCCCATTGCTTTCTTTCTCGATTCCACTCCTCTTTCTCCCTATCAAAATCCTTCACTTGCTTAGAATATTTATCTTGTAATTTCTCACTAAGGTCATTAACTTCGGTCTTAGATTCGAGAGCTGTATATAACTTTTTTTTTAGCTCTTGCTCACACATACTACCAAGTCGATAGCCTTTGTTGATATCTCGTAGTGTACGCACATTGGTCATATTAATAATAAATACTTTATTGAAAAATATCTTTCGAAAAATCTATAGATATCGATACTTATAAATATGATAATAGTAATACGTATCATTAAGTATTGACATCGCATCAATGAGTATTAATTTTATATCAATAAGTATTAGTACTATATCAATAGATATCAATAAGATTCAATAAATATTGAAAAAATATCGATGTTTTTTTTTTTCTAAATTATATTTTAGCAGAAAAATGGTTACTCGCCTTCATCAAACCTTCTATCGATCCAATATAACCCGATTATCAGAGTCTGATATTAAGGAAATCAGAGATTCGAGAGGGAAAATACCAAATGCATCAAAGAAAATGGCAGAAAAATTTCAGATTGGTGCTCGTCGTGTATATGAAATATGTGAGTATACTGAACGTCTTCAACAAGATATTGACCATGCTAGCTTTTCAGCTAATGAACCACAAAACATAGAAGCTTCAGTCATGAAATCGTCAATAAAAAAGAAAAGATCTAAATCTTGGTTTAAATCCGTATTATATAATAATGAGCTCCACTCTCATATATCTGATTCAATACCTACTAATAACTCTATTGCAAAGCAATGGCTCTCCGAGCCTACAGAAAAAATAAGTAGTGGAAACTGGATGTATTATATGAAAAAGAAGCCAGAAGGGGTGAGAAAAATAAAGCAAACATGACTCACTTATTAGCTACTAAATAGATCTATTTTTTCTTTATTTATGCTATTATCTCTGGAGGCGATATATTCAAGTAGATTTCCATAACACATTTGCAACTTTTCACAAAGATCATTTATTTCAGCTTTAGACTTGAGAGTAGTATATAGCGATTTTTCTAACTCTTCATAGGTCATGTGTTTTTTTTTAAAGTCGAATTGTCAGAATCTGAGCTAAAACCTGCAGGAGCATACCATTCCTCCAATGGTTCATTATCACTCTCATTACCTTCTATCTTCTGGAAAATTTGATCAGATATCAAAGGCTTATTGCAAAGTAATGAGGCCTCATCCCTATCATTTTGAGATGCAGTAGCAAAATTTTCTTCGAGTTTATTCTTGACTTTGTGCATAGTAACCGGAATAATAAAAATTTCTCCGTTGTAATTAATCTTCATTTTATCATTACCCCAATCTGCAGCACATTTATATTTCTTGAGAAGTGGATTTGAGAATATTAATGTTGGTTTAGGGAGACGTACAACTACAAAATCTTCACGTATAGTAAAACCTAGGGAAAATGTTATTGAAAAATTACAAGCAATGCCAATAGATTCTATTGGAACAGTGGCAACACCACTAAGATCATATTTTTCTGATGTATTGATTAGCCAATTTACACGTTTAACAATGTCATCAGAAGTTATTGGAAGCTCTGCTCCACTATCAAGCACCATAGCAGGAATTTTCAGATGTTTGATTTTAACTGGTATAGTTGCATACTCGTTACAGACTCTTTCTTCCTAACGAAATCTATTTTTATAGGGTCATCCAACATTTCCTCTTCCCCATCTAAATTGGGTATTTCTGGAGCCGGTTCTCGATTGTTTATAAAATCTGGAGTAGTTAAGTATTTATCTTCAGATTTAAGTTTCTCTAACTGATGTGGAAGTAAGACTTTTTCGAGCATGTTTAATAAAATTTGACGAATAGTCTGCTCAAGGGTAGTCAATTTATTTTGAGACTTATCAGAAGTAGAATTATCCTGTTTCTTTTTGCGGGATTTGGATTTCTTTTTAGTCTTAGATTTCTTGGGTTTTACTTTTTTTTTGCCCTGGAAATATTAACTTGCATACTCTCAGTTTCAGAGAAGGTATTATCAGAATCAGATCCAGAATCGGAATCACTATTGGAAGAGCTATAATCGGAACCTGAATCAGAACCAGAGTCATTGATAGCCATATTAACCTTACCTTTTTTTCTTGGATCTGCTTTTCTTTTTATTTTTCGGACATCTAAAAGAATTTGAATGATACCAGTTCTATGACATTTTGAATAGTGATGTTTGGATATACATTAACAGCATATACTTCCTTCATTCCTTGTGATATACCTTTATATACACCTTTGGATATAGTCTCATTTATTGATAATTCTGCCATATCCTTAGTAATTTTATCCATATCATCAATAATAGGAGAGGTTTCTTTTTTCTTCTTGAGTAAGAGAGGCGTAATTATATCTATTACTTCTTTACTAATTGTATCCATGAAAGTTTGTAGATAAGATGGACCTGCTTAAGCACTAAGACGATCTGTTGCCTCATTCATTCGAAGCCATTCTTGGTTATTCAAGCGTAAAAGTGGATCTCGATAAATTTTACCTGGTTCCATTTGACTGGGTCTTAATAATTATCCTTGTCTTTGAGAAGTTGATTGTGTTGACTGAGGAGTAGCGGTTAGCATTAAAGCTAATTGTGATTTTATCATACTATCTATTT